AATTAAATCATATACTTTTCTGTAAATAAGACTGATTGTAAGTAGGTAACAAATAATTGCTATGGCAACTTAATTGTGATATTTTGTATTCTTTAAATTGGAGCTTTATTTTAAAGACCGATGATTGTGCGGCGCGCAGTTTGCTTGAATTGAGAATGGTAAGATTCACATATAAAAATATTATTAAGCACCAAGATTCACTTTGTATCGTGTTGGCGTTTTCTCATCTTAGGTGTCCGAAACATTCTTTGGTCTTATTAATAATATTAAGCGCGTTCATGCTCGCCTAGCATGAACTACATATATACATTGTCACGTGCATGGTAACGCGCGGCGCAAATCAAGAAGCGAAAAGGGATGAAGGAGGACCCTCGCTATTATCCGTCGAGGAACAATCGGCGATATCACGAATTACAAAAAGAAGTTGGGCGTCGGAAGCGCACAGAGGTAGCGCCAATCGCGAACACGATAAGACCAATAATCAGTTTCTCGAATTCAGAAATGCAATCAATTCTCCCAAACGTGACAATGTTACAACAATAATCATCGATCCTACGACGACCGGTTAACTCTGCCTAAATACTCAAGGACGGTAGGCGAGACATTTACTTAGCCGAATTCACAATTGCAGGCGGCACGTTTATTAGTCAGTTGTCAACAGTTAACAAAAAAAAGAAAAGAACAAAAAATAGCAGCATAGTACGTAAATGTAAGGCGCATGAGTAATCAAACGGAAATGCGACGCAATGACAACTTAATTTCGCGACAGGCGCGTATGCGAACTGCGATCACCACAGCGCGAGACGATTCGCGAAACTCGGTGATAGTTCTCTTTTCGCAGTCGACAACAATATATAATTGGCGCAATTAAGTAGTCTTTTCTAGCTGAAGAAGTGCTCAATTCACGCTATGCGAATAATCTTGATTACTCATAAAATTTTGTCGGCAGTGGTATTGTTCGCGATACTGCTTGTTTTCCATTTGCATACGCACAACGGACGCACACACAAGTATCACGAAAATGATCAAGTTCTCGACACGACGCATAAATGAAGATCTCACTGTGATGATAATTTAACACCAAATTCTGCGCAGCTGTTGTTCGGTAATAATCCATAAAAATTGACACGGCAGGCGCTCACCTATGTGTTCGCGAATATGAATTTCTCACCACATAATTCACGCGACAGCGCGAGGACTTTGCGGTTTACTCGCGGCTACGAACTCCAGAAGGCACGACACGAATTTTCGGACCACACTCCTCTTACGCCGGATCGATTGCCCACGTTAAATTGAAAGATTATGCGTCACTGTCAGACTGGACGCGACACTAACAGCCAATGATGAAATCGACCACAGAACGTGAGCGCCTCCTCCTCGTCTTGTGACTTTACACAATTGAAAAACAGAGGACTACCTCTCCTCCGTCGGCTTTCTTTTGCGGGTCGCGGCCTCTTTGGGCCGAATCTCGTCTCTCCCTCTCCCTCTCCCTCTCCCCCTTTCTTCCTCCCTTCCTCCCTCCCTCTCCTTCCCTCTCTTCCTCCCTTCCTCCCTC